TTGCTTTCTTTCTTTTTGCTGGTCATTTTGCTATCTTTTCCGTCTTTTTGTGTTTAATTTTTTCCCTTCTCTAAAGCTAGAAAATGCTAAATTGCACATTACAGCAGTAATTAGTGACGTTAAATATTTATTTCAGTCAAACTAAAGTGTTCTACTTTGGGAACACACTGAATGTACACTGTATGTACAATATACTAATTGTTATAGGATACTAGGAGCATTATGTTGCAGTTTCAGTGTTCATACTTAATTTTCTTCAAATGCACAGAACCATAAAAACCTGCATAGAATTAGTAAGTACAATAGTAGTAAGAGAAATGGGACTTTTATGTTTGTGTGGAACTGTAGGAGAAGTGTGAACTTTGACCTCTCACCTGCAACCCAGCATCTGTCCAAAAGCCCCTCCTTCCTCTCCAGGACAAAGGAGAGAGCTGTCAGACCCACGGCCAGGTAGAAGGTGATACTGGAGGGCCAGAGAGGAAGAGGAAGAGGAAGAGGAGGAAGAGAGAAACAAATTGAAGTTCAATGTTAGGTTGACGTGTAGGTAAACTGTTGGTTCAATCCACCGGGGTTACTGAGAAAAGACACGTGATCATCAAATGTTTTCACCATATAAGACTATTTATCATCAGCGACATGTGTTTTAATACAATCTCAAACATTCCCTCTTAAAACAACTGTACATACATGAACAAGAGGAGAGTGAAAAGTAAATAAAAGGTTTTGTTCAATATGTATTGGTTGATAACGGCTATGTAACTTTATATTGCATCATCCAGCCCACTGACCTGAGAACAGCTCCAGGTGTCACAAATGTGGTGAAGTCTGTGTTTTGGCTGCCATAGATCGGTTCTTCAAACTGAAAGACGACAGCAACAACAGATAGAAATTACCTGTATTATACAGCAAGTAGCATCAGCAGCACTTATGTACTGTTGTCAACTTGTTGGTAAAGTACTGTCTCATTTAAGATTGAAACATAATCAGGTTTTTCTCTTTCCTATGTTGTAATTACACTCATTTATTTAACCTATTATTATTATATTATTTTACCTTTATTGGCAGGGAGACCAGGTACGACATTCTGCCCAACTTATTATCCACAAAAGCCTGCAAGAGATGACAGAGTAACAATCTTAACAAGTTCGAACAGTATAAGGATGTTGCGTGGCAGATTGTAACTTAAACTACATTAGGGCATCATTCAGTGTTTCAGTCTTCAGTGTAATCATTGATGGATGAAAAGAAGTTTTTGTGGTAATATAGCCTGATATTGATCGGTAAAAAAACAGTATAGTGCCTTGAACATCAATAGGGTTAGATATCAATCGATAAATCAATATCAATATTGATTAAGCAAGAGTGCTTAGCCAAGTGTGTTATGTTTGAGTCTAAATTAAACATCAGATGTCTTCAGATGTTCATTTTCTGTATGTGTTGAACATCTTCTGATGGTAGCTCTCCTTCACAGCATGACAACATCTGAATATTCGCACAAACAAACCTGAAAGGCCTCATGTAGTTTCTTCTGCAGCATAACAGCAATTTGTCGATCTAGACAACACATAAACAGCAAAAATGAACAACTTCTCCGTCTCAGATTAGCAGTAGATAATGAAGAAATCTCAGAAAACTCAGGGTAGAATATTACTTCAGTTATAAACTTTTCTAAATGGACCCTTTTAAGCAAAAAGACTACAAACTACGAGAAGGTTTTCCATCTTACTTGTCAGGTCCAGCCAGACATGTAGTGATCCTCCATCAACCACCTCTCTAGAAACCTGCCGCTGAATCATCCTGTAAAGTCAGGTACATGGTCACAATCTGAAAAAAACCTCCCTGAGTTTGCAAATATATTCAACCCTCAGCAACAATCAATAAAACTGGAATGTAAATGTTGCAATAGAAGCAAAAAATGAAATACTGAACACAAGCTTTTTACAGGTACGAGATAGATTACTACAGATGAAATCAGTAGACAGAGATGTATGAGAGCATGTGACGATTAAAGGGGCAAAACACTGTACTTTTTCACTGGGGCTCTATTTTGGCATTCACTTATATTCCTATATGAAGGTTTGACTCTAAAATGTGGGGAACAGTGAGGGTTTGAACTAAATAAGAAATATCAGCTTTTGGAAGCATGTAGGGTAACCCACAAACTCTAAAGCACTCCTTTTTTTATTATGAATTCATCTATGACAGCGTGACCTCCAAGCTAATTAGAACCAAAACTAATTAGGTCACAAATCTACGTGACTATAGGCTGGTATCACTGATCTAAACAACACTTGGAAGGTTAGTTAGGCTTATTACTTCCCTGAAATCAAAAAAAGCAATGCCTTTGGCCTTGCTGTGACATTGAGGATATTATAATTCATGCAATTAAGTAAATTTAACTTTGTTTAGAAGGTGAAGCCAGGCCTAAAGTTTTTTCCTTCTTCGGTGGAAGTGGATTGTAATTGTTTCTTGCCTTCCTTCCCTAATCTGTTACAAACCCTTAAATATCTTTGCAATAACCACTATGTCCTGTTCCAGTGTTTGTGTATGTAGGAAGTCTACAACCAGTTGGACATATTTTGCAGGCTAATGGCATTTAGCCAGAAAAGCTGTGGTTTCAGCTCCTTTAAGCAAACAGCACTGCAATGCTGCAACTAATGATTTCCTTATCAATTCATCTTATTATTATTTTCTTGATTAATCAGTCATTTTGACTATAAAACGTTATAAAAATAGTGCCTCTAACAAGTCTTTAAATTGCGTGTTTTTTTTCAACTAGCAGTCTAAAAGTTAAAATCACATAAGACAAAGAAAAGCTGCAAATCCTCTCATCTGAGAAGCTTTTTTTCTCTTAATAATGGATAATAGTTGAATTTTCCTCAATGTATGACAAGGTAGGTTTGCATTACCCATCATGCCTTGTCCACACAATAATTAATAGACAATGAATAGATGCAAACCTTTCACCTTATGAAATCATATCTGATCTAATTAGAGAATCAGCCAGAATATAACTCAAACTGTTTATTTCCACATGACAGACGCATGAGAAGACACCTCTTGTTTTCCACAGGCAGGTCTGTCACATGATGGGCACATGATTCAGTAGGAATGAGCGTTTGATTGGTCGATGCTAAGCTGTGACCTGCCAGGTGTGTTAGGGACAAGAAGGACCAGACTGTCTACCCAGGTATCACAAACACACAAATACACGCAGACTGTGATTCACACCCAAAGCAACAACACATGCCCTTTGTCCTCCAGGGTTGACTCATCCTCACATGAAGGTGTGAGTTGGTGTGGTTTTTGTGTGTGTTTATGTGTGTTAAAGACAGAGAGAGAGAGAGAGCAATATAGACTGCAAGTAATAAAGTATGGGGGGAAAAGTAAGTCCTACATCTGCATTTCAGGACATTTAAAATAGATTCAAGCTCCTCATTTTTATTTTACTTTCAGTTAGTCCCATGATGAAATCTTTTACCTAGTCAACCATTTTTTAATGCTTGTTAAATATTATTATTGTACAGATACTCACCAGCAAGTTCATTACTGTCTGCATCAAACTTGCTGTATCTGAACCCAGGTAAGTGTAAGATACATCTTAGATAGATGGCCTTCATGTACAGCAACTTGTGTCCCATTAAAGCCCCCAGTACTCCTCACTAAATTTGCATAAATCCTGAACAAGGTACCTTTCTGAAATGTCTGATGCTGCAGTGTATTAGCTGGATTAGTTGCAGCTGATAACATAATTTCTACTTGATGGAAACCTCCTCATTCTCTGTCAATCAGACCCTGGATTCTTCTTTTATGGATTTTATACACTGCTACAGACAGAAATATTCATTTTAGGTGTTCCTGAAGCATTTTGTGAGGCTAATGGTTTGATTGCCTGTCTCCTGTTGTCTACATATCAAAGAGTGACAGAAGACATTGCCACTCCCTATTTGTGTTTATAGGGAAAAACAGGAGTCTAGAGCCATGTAAGCGGCTCTGTGTGGCTACACGTTGAGTGCTCTGCACTCTTAAATGCTCAAAATGACAATGTTAACATGCTAATGTTAAGTAGGTAGTAGTAAGCATGCTAACATTTGCTAAATGGCTCTAAACACAAAGAACAGCTGAGGCTGATGGGAATGTAATTAGGACAAATTAAATGTTTGACCTGATGATGGTGCTATATACAAAGTCATGAGTTACCCAAATTATTCCAATTCACCCTGGGGGGAACATGAATGTCTGTCTCAAATGACAATCCACCCGATAGTTCAAAAAGCTCGAACCCATGAACTTCACCTCATGCATGTACCAAAGTCAAAGTTATGTGATTGTGATGCTGCATCTAAATTCATAATAATGAAGGCATAAAGGGTTTACATCTGCATGAAAGATCTGTGTGCAGTGAGTGTGTTTATCATGTTTCCCTGAGTGATCAGTTTGTCCCTGCTCTGCTGGAATGCTGTCTGTGCGTCACACTGGCATTTGGATGGAGTCGGCCTGCTTTTCTGTGGGTTTTGTATGACTACTAAAAAATCCCACTCACATTAGGGTGCACAAACACACCCTTCTGTAATCAGCATTGGCACTGCACGTGCATAACATCATCTGTGCTATGAATACATACATCTGTCAAAAGATGAAGAAGGTAAAGCAAGTAGGGGGTCGAATCTTGTCAGGTTATAAAGTTTCTGGAACTTAATTTTTAAAATATTGTCACAAAGAGTTTTTTTCTTTAAATATATATTTTGTGCAGCTTTTTATGCCTCTATTTGATAAGACCGCTGGAGACAGACAGGAAAGGGGGGTAGAGAGAGGGGATGATACGCAGCAAAGGGCTGAAGGTCGGATTAGAACCCTGGGATGCTGGAGCAAGGACTCAGCCTTGGTACATGGATCGCCAGCTCTACCCACTGAGCCAACTGGGCGCCCAAGAGTTTTTTTTTCTTACATTCACATGCAGACTTGCTCAAAAATCCGAGTTGTGCATTTGTTTTGACAGTGTTCAGTATGGTGGCCCGGAGAGCTTGACGTGCTGCAACTTAAGGAAACTCATGCAAATAGACAAAACATGAGCAAACTAAGCAAACATCTTCACCAATTTGCAGAGAGAAAACAACCAAATACAGAAACGCGGCAAGTGGCACAGACAGAAAAACTGTTTCCAGGAGACACTAAAAAGTGATGTACACGGCTGGGACACGCTTGTTGTTGCTGTGGTTTTTGACTCAAGCAGTCACTGTAGTTGGCTACCTGCAAGTGGTGTTAGAAAATTAGCAAATTGTGAGTTTATTTGGTGGCCCGATTATGTCATTAGTTTTTAGAGTTCCATGGGAACGTTTTCCATTGTTGTCTGCGCTACTTTGCGTTTCTGTATTTGGTTGAGTTTTCTGTATTTGCATGTGTTGAACTTGTGCACGCCACAGTAGTTTTGTTAAATCTGTGCACACGCCGAGTATCTCTTTACACTGCTGCTTTGAACAAAATGCTGAACTTCTTTCCAACTTTATTCCTCAGAAGCAACACGTGACATTCAGTATCTACTTTACACCATGTGGAACAACTGAAATTCGTCCATGACACAAGTGTGAGCTCCAAGTTTAAAGCGCAGGCCAGTACAGCAGGCAGCAACACCGTCAGGCATCTCCTTTGATTTGTTCTTCTACTATGTGTCTAACAACTGTCATATCGATTCAGTCATGAATGTCTTGCTGTTTTGATCACTTGAGACCCTTTTTTTTAACTCCACACGGACAATTCACATATGTGCAAGTCAGCAAGCACAATGCAAGAGTTCCTGTTTGTGTTTTGTACTAATGTAGATGTGTTTTGCTCTCTGCTGATGTTGGCAGACCAACCACTGTAACATGAACTGGTGCACTGATGAGTTTCTAGTGTCACATGCACGCCATCAGCAACCTGGCGTGGTGCAATGCTTTTTTTGGCATTCATTGATTCATTATGAAATGATGGATGAGCTGATGAATGGAGCATAAAAAATAACTCGCTCTCTGTGTTACTCTAACCTTTTTGTCAGGTAACTGGTGAAATTCTCGCCAAAGCCGATGACACCCCAGTACTCTCCGTCATAGATCCCATCGAAAGCATCTTTATGGGACAAGGGCACCTATGAACATATAAAGAACAGACATAATTCAATTTAATCTTATTATATAAAGAGCATGCTGACTGGCCATCCTTCGATTCAGTGACATTTGTATCCAGTGAAACACAATCAAAGCTTCTAATGTTTGTTATTGACCAGCTACACTAGAGAGATTACATTTTAATGACGGACAAGAGAAATATTTCTCAATTACCTATAATCGTAATAGATAAGATAAGATAAGTGAACACTACTTTACAGTATCTGTGAGTTTTATACAGTATATTGAAAGGTTGTGGTTTGCTGTCACACACAGAAACAACCTTTCACCGACTTCCTAGAAAATTCAAGTCTTAGGGTTTCTTTGAATGTGAATAGAAGTGAAACTGTAAGAGGCCTGTCATTTTCTTTCTGAAGGACGGAACATAATTCAGTCACTCTGAGCTCTGAGACAAAATGTTCTAATTCAGTGAGCCACTAAACAAACAATCAGGTGAATATTTAACGTAACAATCTGTCATGCATTGTGATAATCAACAAAAGAAAATAAATCTGAATCTACTGAGAGTTTCACAGTAAATATATCTGCTACAGAAAAAAAACAACAACTTTGAATACATACAGAAACTGCCTACTTCCTCTTTTGGTTACGACAACATGAGAACAGAGGGTGTGATTATGCCTGATATGTGTGTTATAAATGTCTCCCACAGTTAAATGAATACCTGCTGCACGCTGGAGTTGTCCAGGAAGGAGAGCAGTGATCGGCTGTAAGCGGAGGGGGAGGTCTCGTTGTTCACCACAGCAACCTGGATCCCCTTTGGGTCTCCTCCGACACACAAACAGATAAGAGAGACCTGGATGACGGGCAGCAAGAACTGGAAACACAACGAGCTGCAAACACAGAGGAGAGAGTAGCAGTGAGAAATGCTGCACCAATATGTCACTCATTGTAACTTAATTAATTACTAAATATTACTAATAGATACTATTTACTACAACATACCCTGGCATTCTCTTCATCCGCACCATTGTTTTGATCATCAGGGCGGCGATGTTTCTCCACTTTGGCAGCAGGTGTCTGGCTCGCACCTTCCAGTCCGCTAAACACACACAACAAACAAATAGTAACTCCAGTAGTAGAAACCAACTGGTACATTTACTCAAGTACTGCACTTAAGTACAAATCTGAGGTAATTGAGCCTAGAATTGAATGTAAACCTTCCTCTTACCAAAATGAAGGTCCCTCTCTATAACCATTTTAATACCTATTATGTCATGAACTCCTACAGCGTATGTTTTGAAGAGATGTATTGATAATAAACACTGCAGTAATGACTTCAGATAATGGTCATATTTGGTGTTTTGGAACTAAAATGAAATGGCGTCAGTACTGGCTGTTTCAGAATAGCACCTGAATATTTGGGAGTTTCCTCAGCAGCTCCTGGTCCGACTGCGAGAATTGGCCGACTCTCGTCCCGCCCACTCTCGAACGATTGGCTGTTCTCCAAAGGCCCACCCTGCGGACTGGACCCCCGCTTTGAGCCGATCTGGTCTGACGTCTCACACAGCTGAAGGAAGGCTTGCTCCAGGGTCTGCAGCAGAAGATAATGTGGGTGAATGGGTACCACTACCAAAATACAGTATGTACACAAAGCAGGAAAATATGCTCGATATTTTATCCATGAATTTTCACTTTGTTTTTTTGTTGTTGTAGTTTAAAATGAGATGTGCATTCCTATTACTTATTCTTATTAATACTGAATATAAAGCACCTTTAACTGCCTTGGTTTATGATGAAGTGTGCTACAGTACTGCTTCATGAACAGCCTCCCTAACCTGACTAACAGCACCCCTGGGTGTCCATACATCCCATGAGTGTTTTTAACGAGTACTCACTGTTGCACTGTGCTGCTTCATGACTGCATCTGGAGGACCTTCAGCCAGTAAACAGCCATTCCTCATGAGACCGACCTGGAGAAGTGTTTGGAGAGAATATTTGTTCAAGTCTTATTTATAGGCAAAAACGTCTTTTTAAAACAACAATGTGTTTATTTGTGTTTATTTATGGATAGGACATATTTCATCCTCTTCAAAAATCCAAGAACATATCATGACATCTATACATAAATCAAAACTTCAATTCCAATCCATACCTACCCCCTCAAACCATTTAAAGTTCCTGAATAGTCCAACAAACACTAAGGCTACACTGACACTTCACATAACTTAGTGCTCAATTCTGATTCTTTTGCCCAGATCTGATTTTTTTTTTGTTTACACTATTTTTAAAATGTAGCCCATTTCAGATTCTAGTGTGAACAGGTCATGGTCCTGAACTGACCTGCGTGTGAAAAACAACAGTACACACAAGGCCACTGAAGACAGCGTTTACGGTTTCTTTTAGAAGCCAGCAAATTTGTGAGCTAATGATTATAAGGACGGGGATTTTGTCAAGCAGTGGTTGCTACTTCTGTACGGAGGTGTGTGTGTGGGTGCGGTGTCAGAGCGAACACAGACCGGTTACGGTTCTTTGACCCCTCAAGTTTAGTTTGTACAGAAGTGTCACCCCAGGTGTGCACATCGATTTGATCATATCTGGGATGCAATGGTATCATATCAGGGATTACAGATGTAAGCAAGCAGCCAACAACATAACAGTAAACTTGTTTTTTTATGATCTCCTCTGACTTACTTAGTTTCTGTCATGTCTAGGTCAAACACGCCATAAACAAAATTAGCAGTTGCTATGTGATCAAAGTCTACCTATTGTAGAGAAACAACAGTGGAGTGATGCATTGTTGTATTATGAGCTACTTCACCTTACATAGTTCTGTCAAGTAATTCTCCCCCAGTCATTGTGATCTTTTACCCATATCATTTAACCCTGAATGGGGACATTACTGGGCTAGCTGAGCAGTCAGACTGGTTTTAGGGAAGAATTACTGGCTCTGTGTTTACATGTAGCTGCATCAGCAAGAAACTAAAATGACTTTGGACCTCTTTTTTGTGTAGCCTGAAAAAAACTGATGTAGTTTCACAGGAAAGAGATTCAGTTTGCACAGAAAGCTGGAAACCACACACACAGCTCAACATGTTCGAACTGGAGTTCAAGCAGCATTCGAAGTCACCAAGAGAAAGTATTTCATCTTAACATCAGACCATGACAAAAAATGAATGAATTCTTAACCAGCAAACCATCATGGGACAATAAATTCTCCACTAAAACCCAGAAATTTTAGTTAGTAGCTCTCTAAGGCAGAATTACACATTACAGTCAGCAAATTGTGCATTAAACTTGATGAAATGAAAACAGAGAAGATGTGAAGGTGTTTCCTTCCTTTTTTAGGTGTAGTGTTAATATTTAATATTAGAAGGCCAGTATTACATTTTTCAGCCTAACACTAGATAACCACACGGAGATAATAATAATAATAATACAT